ATATATTCTGAATATATTCTGAACAGGATAATATTATGTGTAATTCATGCTCAATACTTTGCTATTTACAAAACTAACACTCTTCCATGCATTTTTCAAATCCAGTCTTCAAAATATCAAAATTTACAATAAAACATTGACACTTTTTTTTTTCATTTTTATCAAATTCCCAATAATTTGATCATTCGTGGCATGTACAGATGTACTTGGAGCCTCTTGTATTTGCGAAAATATTTCATCCGGTAAATTGACGTAGAATCAAAGGCGTTGATCGCATCGTGACGCATGACATGATATAATCCAAACTGTCACCCGCACATCCGGAACTTCTATACAGAACGTGGCTTTAAACACCTATCTATTGACTCTAAGCCTATACCCACCAAAAATAAGTTGAAATTTTGTATTATACGTGCAGAGTATCAAGAAAGAATTAGAAGAAAAGAAAAGGAATATTACTAAGTGACTCTCACTGTTCCTGGCAAAGCCAAAGCAGAAGGCCTCACAATCACCTCGTTATCAAATGCTCCCTTCACAGTATCCAGATTCAGCCCCACTGACGACCTGCCACAAAATATATAGTAATAACAAGATCAAACACCTCCTTCTTTTGTAATAAATGCAAACTCTAATATGAATTATTTATAAAAAAAAAGAGGATTACATACAGACCACTAAATTCCTTTTATATTCTTATCTGTGCATGATAGAGTGTATTAAATTTTGTTAAGAGGTTTTTACATGCCCGCCACCTCAAACACATTATATTTTATATCCTTTAACAGCTAAAATGTAATATTTACATATTGATCACCCTAAACGGCTTGCACTTTCCCTCCCCTCCAAAACCAGCCACTCACCGTTATCATCCACGAACCCGCACACGCGGTTTGCTCTCCTTCGTCTATAAGAACTGAAACTTAACCTCTTCCCCCGCTGTCGAGCCACAAACTGTGCCTACCCTAATTTTCTTCTCTCTTGTGCTCGTTGCCCCATCTTTCTCTAGTTGGGAAAAATATTGTGTCTGAACGTCTGTACGTCCGAACAGCCAACCACCAACCGCCTATTGCCGCCCGCCGATGAGATGCATGGCTACATGGCGGCCGGTGGTTGGGCATCAGGACGTGCGGTGTACGAACAAAATATGTTCTCCTCTAATCGGAAAAATTTTGTGAGTCCTTTTGGATCTTCATGCAATTGTTGTAATTGTGTCTCCTTTCTTGATTGCATAAGATACGTGATTTCTTTCCTCTTTCGCTCGCTACCGCGTTCTCAATCAAGCTTGCTGCACTTGATTTCCTACGCTCTTCTTTACCGTCTGAAAATGGTAAACAACTTTAACCTCACCTATTGGTTCTTTTGAGAAGATCGAGAGAGTCAGCAAAGTTCATACCATTTAACTCTTCCTCCAAGCCTTGCAGGAGTACATAACACCTTCCACATCTCATTACTTCGGCACTACGTGCATGGCGAATCTCACATTGTTCAGTATAATTCATTGGTAATTTGAGGAAATATATATATATATATTAGATTGCATCTTAAACGCATGAAATTTGATAGCTTCACTACCGATTTATTCCTTTTGATGGAAGACTTTGGAAGAACCAATCAGAGCAAGAAGCAACCTAAGATATTGAAGAAGAGTTGATCTTAAAATACCCGCAACTATTACAGAATCAAGGTATGAATTTGGGATCAAATTCTTCAAGTGAGATAGTATGTAAAAATCAAAACTAAACTCTTTTCTCGCTATCAAGCCGCAAACCACTGTCCTTAACTTTCTTCTCTCCCTCAATCGTTGTCCCATCATGGTTGGATTGCAAAAACTTCATAATTCCTTTTTTATTTTCTTCCAACATTTGTCATCATTGTGCAACCTTTCTTGATCACACAAGGCACGCCATTTATTTCCCTCTTGCTCGTTGCTCGTTGCTCAGTTCCGATCGAGCTTGTTGCGCTCGATTTCCTTGCCGCCTGAAGCTACTGTCTCATTGCTCTATTTAAGAACAAGGGCGAGGGCATCGCAGTCCCTTTCCCAAGCCATGGATTCCTTGTAGCATCCCCTTTCTCCCTCTTTTCTCATTCTCGCCTGACCTAACCTAAGGCAGAGAGACAATTTCTCCTCCTCCTTCCTCGACTGATCGAGCTTCATAAGCCCCTCCTTCCCTTCTTTCCTTTTCTTTCTATCAGAATCTGCTCATTGATATGGAGCATCTATTCTTGAAAGTATGAATAGTAATGACAAAGCATGTATACAACGAGGGCACCAATTGAAAATAATTGGGAGTAAATTCCTTTCTTCTATTTTTATTGTTTGTTAATGGATTTAAAGAAAGTTCAAATTCAGCGACATTAGACACAAGGATCCAAGAAACTATATTTGCATATTGTTCTGCAAAGAGTGAGTTGCAGTAAAACAGAGAATTGAGGTAAGGAGATCCTTGACAAGTGGAGTTGTTGCATTTATGATATACATTATAGATGATTTTGCTAACCTTGGGAAATCAAAAGGAAAGAAGACGGATTAGTGAGATAGAAGATGGGGGCAAATCGTCGATGAATGTACGCCTGCGAGATCGCTGCAACTATGCAAATTCAGTGGACAGACAAGGCCGGGAGTGAACTCACGGCGTCTTCCTGCGACCAGAGATGCGTAATGGCAAGTAATGAAGGAAGGGGAAGGGGGCTTAAGCGGCGATTGATGGAGGCAAGTGAATCGTGTGCAGGGTTGAAGATGATAATGGCGAGTGGCTGCTTGGAAATGGAAAGGTCAAAATGTAAATGAAAGAGTTTAAGTGTTAAACAAGAAAAATATAATGCTTTAAATAGTCGTATTGTTATGTGATATGAAAGGTTTGAGCGGTATAAATGTAAACAATTATATTTAGATGTTAGATATATAAATACATCCTAATTGAGTGATATATATGTAAATGCCCCTATAAAAATAATGGTAAATAGGTATTATCAATAAGGTTTTTGAAATTGGACCAGACATTGAATCGTTCAAAAGTTTAAAAATTTAACTGGAATCCAATTGGAGACTCTACATACAAATACCAACTTATTAAAGATAATACTTTCATAAACAATATCTTATATGAAAGCCACCTAATGATTTTTCTATTATATTTTCTTAGAAGACAAATTCTCTTCTATAACTAGTGGAAGCTTTTATGTTGTAATCCTACAAATTTTAAATGATGTTCTCCCTACCCCTTTTTGTTCTTCTCTCGAACTCTAACTTCGCTCAGCCTCTCTCATTTAGTCACCTTACGTGGAGCCTCATTCTTTTTCTTCTTTTTCAAACCTTGACGCAAATCTCTCTTTTCTCTTCCACCAAAAAAATATGAAACCGAGCGACATGTTAAGCCTTCCCACTTCAATCACATTCTCTATTTACAACATCATCACCAACTTCAAACCCAAACTCTATGCTCTTCTACCTCACCCCTCTATTTTATGAAGTTTAAGTTGTATTTACATTTAAACTTCAACTTTTACATGCATATCACCTTATCTATGTATGAAAAGGTGCATTCATTTTTTAGAAGTTAAAATGATAATATATTTTATATGATATGAAAGATTTGGGTGTAAGATATGTAAATACATAGGAAATT